CTCACCTCAGCCTCCCAAAGGCGTGGGATTACAGGCTGAGCCACCGAGCCTGGCTTAAAAGTTCAGATCTTAACTTTCTTCCGTAGATGTTTTCAATGACTTTCCAGTGAATTCGAGGCCCACCAGGATGTCTTTGCTTCCTGTTTTTGTGTTCTGGTTTATTTTCTTTCTGTTGAAGCTTTGGACATTACAGCCACCCAGGACTACTTGGCTTTTTCCTGAATAAATCCTGCACAGTTTTGGCATCTTACCTGTTTTCCATGGCGTTTTTTCTGTTTGAAATTCCTTGCTCTCATCATCACATATTGAAGTAAAAAAAATGTGACTTAATAGGCTTGACATATTCTGGTTTTTAAAAATTCTCTGTGTAGTTTAACTTGACTTTGTGTACTCTAGATGTGGTCTTTTGTGGACTCATTTCACACATTGGTTGATGGCCTACGATGTGCCAGATCATGGCCTGAGAGATTCCGGGGGTCAGTGGGGAGCAAGGTAGACAGTTGCTGCCCTTGTGACCATTCTTAGCCACATGTGTACATGGATGGACCTAGTGATTAATTTCACCCTGTGTTTAGCCTTTTGTTTAATCACACTTGTTCCTGGCAAATTGATGGTCGGGACTAATATTTCTTCTTGTAGTTTCGAACCTTTCCATACTTGCCTTTAGAATGATTTTATCAATTTTTGTGTCTGTAATACAGTAGTTCCTTGGCATCTGAGGGATTGGTTCCAGGACCCCCAGATCTACCATAATTCAGCATATTAAGTTTTGTGTTGGCTGGGGAACCCTGCGGAACCTGCAGGTAGGAAAAATTTGCCCTCCTGTATGTAGTTTCCAATCGCTGGACCCATATAGTTCAAGATCATGTTGTTTAAGTGTCGGCTGTATTTCTTTTCACTTAGCATCATATCATCAGGACTTTACCATATTAAAATTTTTAGCCCTGTCTCTTTTAGCTTTTGTGTTCCACTTTTAGCCTTGCCTTTTTACCTGTTGAAGCTGGTGGTTAAATAACCATTTTATATTTGTAGTCTTTCATTCTTTCTTAGATTTCGTTGCTGTTAGAATCTGGCACCATTCATTGCCTGAATTCTTTTTCTTTTTTTTTTTGATAGATACAGGGTCTCACTGTGTTGCCCAGGCTGAACTTGAAGTCTTGGGCTCAAGCAGTCCTCCTGCCTTGGCCTCCCAAAGTGCTGGGATTACAGGTGTGAGGGAATTCGTTTTTTTTTAAAAGGGTCATTGATGACATTAGCAAAGAACTGTAAAATATATTGAAATAGCATAATGCAACATAGTGTCTGTGATACATAATTTAAATTACGAAGTAAGCATCCACTTACCCACCATTCAATTTGAGAAACAGAACATTACAAATATTTTTGAAACCCCTTCTTTTTCATTCCTTCCTCCAGTCTCTTGTTTCCACCTTATGTGATTCACTGTTGTGAGCTGTTTTAATGAATTTTTTTGTTGCTGTGCCACAGAGTATTCCTAAACAATTTGATTAGTTTCACCTATTTATATGAATAACTATGAATGGAATATGAATTAAATCATAGTATATGCCTTGAATCTTTTTTAAAAAATACATATATTTTTAATTTTAGAAATAGTAGAGTTAGAGTATTACTATTTTGCTCAGGCTGGTCTCAAACTCCAGGTCTCAAGCAATCTTCCAAATATGCTCGGATTACAGGTATGAGCCACTGTTCCTGGCCTTGAGTCTTGATATATTTATCTCATACCATGGTTGTTAGGTCTTATGTGATGCTAATGGTCCCCTTTACTAAGTATTGAAATGTCAAAATATTTTCATAAGTACAAGTGGTACAACTGTACCACTTCACATTTGTCCCAGCAGTTTATGAGGAATCCCATTGCTTCACATCTTTTCTACCTTTCATATGGCTAGATATCCATTTTTGTCAGTCTAGTAAGTTGAAATGGAATCTCGTAATTTTTTAGTTGTCCATTCCAATAGACTTCTCAGTGTGTCTCTTACTGTGTACCTTGCAGGAGTCCATGCTCAGTCATCCTTATGGAATGGAAGAGTGGATCTTCATTCTAGTCAAGTAATCTCATTGTTCTTAGGCAGGATCAAGTTAATTCTAGCCGTTGAACTTTTTATGTAAAACTCATTTTGCTCTCTGAACAGTCTGAATTTTACTTTTCTTATGTTCATTAGACCTTTATTATTCAAAAGTATGTTCCATCAGTTAGTAGACGAGTGTGATGAACAGCACTGGTTACACCTGGAAGCTTGTTAGAAATGCAGACGTAGAGTATTGCAGAAGCTCAGGCCCTTCTCCTGATCCACCAAATCAGGTGATTTACAGTACATAGTTTGAGAAGCACGGCTCATTTCCACATTGATGTTTTCCTTTCTATGGACTTTTTAATGAGGACAGCTTGTATCTCTCTTGGTATGTTGTTGATACTGTTAATAATGGTTTACTCTTAATGTATTTTCCCTTTCTCACTGGGATGATAACTCTTTTCAATGCTAAGGCATAAAACATTTGTATCCTCCATATTTCAGTGCTTGAAACCCATTGTGTTGAAATGTTACTTTTTAAATTTTGTTTTCCCCTTATGTAAGAAGTTACCTTATTGTTTAACATAGTGGTAACTTGTTAACTACCGTAATCCCCTGGTTTTGTAAGTAAGGCAGAGTATGTTATTAATAAATGGAAAAGTCTGAATTATGTATACAGTCAGCTCTATATATCCATGGATTCTAAATCCACTGGTCCCACATGTGTGGATTCGATAGTGGATCCAAAATATTTTTAAAAATGCAAATAACAGTACAGCATAACAACTATTTACATAGCATTTGCATTCTGCTAGATATTATAAGGACCCTAGAGATGATTTAAAGTGTGCAAGAGGGTATGTGTAGATTATATGCAAATGCATCATTTTATAGAAGGTACTTGAGCTCTGCAGATTTTGGTATCTGGTTGGATCCTTGTTACTGTCTGAAGCTTTTGTCTACTTGTTTGACTCTTGACACTAGAATATCAACTTCCATGTCAGGTTTGTTCACTATAGTATTTCCAGGTGTCTAGAACAGTGCCTTACACATAGGAGGCACACAGGTATTGTGAGTGAATTAGTATACTGTTGTGTAGAAATTTTCTTGAAAATCGGTCATGGGGAAACTGAGTTAAATAAGTACCCTGTAGAAATAAATGAGGTGCTGGTGAGAAAGAACACAGGACTGAGTGTGGGATGCCAGTTTGCTTTATGAGCGTGTTCCTGGTTCTTTACCTTTTTGCTTGTTGGTTACTTGCTTGTGTGATTAGAAGAATCGCTAGTGTTGTACCTTCAGGGCCCTGTGCAAGAATGTTTGGCTATGTTTTATCTGGTCCTCACAGCA